ACCAGATACCACGAATATTACTTATAGCCAAGTGGTTTTCCCTTGCAGTCTAGCACGTAATCACGCTCCGGGCACGCATCCCGCAAGCAGCAAACCTCCCTGAAGAAAATCGAAGCCCATCCCCTATTCAAGAGGCCGCAGGAGAGGCAGCCCCAAGGCATCCCTCGCTTGCTTGACTTAGTTCTCCAACACCAGCCTGCTAGATGATCGCTACCCAGCACAACAGAAGCCAAGTCCAAACGCTGCATGTCGGACCAGCGTAGGCTTGCCCAGGCCATCACCAACAGCACGGATAAGAGGAGGCGATCCTGACCGACCCCTTTGGCCAACGCCTGCTAAAAGCGAAACAGAACAACCAGAGGAAGTGGCAGCGCTTCCTTTGCTCGCTGCCGCGTCACTTTGTCGTTGCTCCACTTGGAACTTGTAAGCCGTAAACATTAGTGCTGAAAGTACGCCAAGCGCTGTCTTGCGACGGCGGCGGCCGCGGTCTGTGATGGCGCCCTCTGAAAGGCTGGCCAGGAAGTCTAGTATCTGCGACAGGCTTGGTCGACATGCCGGCCAGGCTGCGCCCGCGCAAAATGCAAGCCAAGCACGCCAACCTGATAAATGGCGCCGCAAAGTTGCTCGCGCCCTATCTAGAAATAGGGGCAGAAGTCGCGCAGTATGACAAGGCCCCAGGTCAAAGAACAGCTTGCTATCCCTTCGCACAACATCTGCAAAGCCTAGCCAAACAGTGGCCAGACGCTTACGCTCCTCCGACTCAGCTGCCGCCAGGCTGCACCCAGGAAGAATTGCAGAAGGCAGGGGACGCGCAACGACCACCGTTGTTGGCATTATGGGTTCCACATCAGCAGGTGACGCAGCATACAAGGCCGCTCGTTTAGAGGGCAAAGGCGGGAGCTGACCTATCTTCTTTACCTCCGGACGAGGGCGGACACGCCCCGCACTTACCTCTGTACGACGCACCTTTGTCGCAGGCCGGGGGAGGTCACCCCCGACATCCCTCAAATGTAGGGCGCCGACCGCAGCATTTGAGCAACAGGAAGAAGGCAGAGCGCAAGGAAGACTCGAAATCGCGGTATTCATAAATCTGACCTGAGCAAGGTACCTGTAACACACAGGCAAGGGCCTGAAGCAACAAGGCAAACACCAGAGTCTCACACACACATAAAGGAGACATGCTACGTAGACTAGGGCAGAGGGTTAGCTGTATGCGCTGGCCGTTGGCCAAACCTTCCCCATCGCAGACAGACCAGCCCCGAGGCCGGAGGCCTGGGGTGTTTGAATAAAAGGCCTCATACTAGGTCGCGCTAGATTGGGTTTTTGGTCGTTTTGGAGGCTTGGCCTGGGTCTGCGTTGATTGCTGGTCCTCTTGCAGGTCCCCCGAGTCCTCGCTGTCAGGCTGCGCTTCCCGCTTTCCATACTTATTTTCCTCCCGCTCCTGCTGCACATTCCTTTCTGTTCATGCATGCTTGATGGCAAGGGCGAGAAGCAGTCATGCACGCTTCGGGCGCTTCTCGGCCCGTTGCCTCGCCGCCGAGGCGGCACCCTTAAAGAGCGCTTGCGTGAACGCTGGCGATAAAACGGTTGTGCTTCGCAGTCAATCAACGCGGGCCAATGCGGCAAGTAGCTGTGCACAGCTGCGCATACTGTCCGCACTAGTCGGCAGTGGTCTCTAACCATCACAACAATCCTTGCGCATGAAGTCCAGTCCAAGGCACTATGGCGCCCGCAGGCCCCAGGGGAGGAGGCTGCACAGGTTTGGATTCCTTGACCTCGGACAAGCTCAAACACGCAACGAATGAAGGAAAAACACAAAAAGTTTGCTCTGGTCCGTGCGGGGACCCAGCGCATAGCTGCCGTCAACACCTGTGCTTAAGCTCCTTTGAATACGAAGCGACCAGCGGCACATGCCCTATAAGCACTGCACCCCTGGCGGATTCAGGAACATTCCTGACAGCTTCAACCAACATTGCAAGCAAGGAAGCTTCTGCATTGCCGGCCTGGCCCTGACTTCATGTCCTTTTTCAGGCGAGCACAACATTCATCGGCACTGACCTCGTTTTTCAGCCGACAGAAAGACTCGCCACTCACACCAACGTGAGTTTGAATTTGAATCACAACTCTACTCGGACCGGCACCTGCACCCTTGGTGTCGGATCCTGGGTCTGCTTGCTTTTGTGCACTAGTCTTGATGTATCGTTGAAAGCGTGCATAAGCCCGGGACCCCCATCGCTCAGCTTCAGCGAGCGGACAGTGCCAGAAAAGTCCCGGAGTGCTTGATCCCGCTACTGTTGGCAAGCATCTGTAGTCAAGAGTCCGTGCACACACGTGTGGCAGGAACTGGGCTGCACATACCGGCTACTGCTTTGCAAGTACAAGCTTCTGTTAGCAAGCACTTCCCCTCAAGTCAAATGGAACACCGGACAAGTTGACATCTGGGGCAGCGGAAGTTGCATGTCGCTTTTGTATCCTGCCACGCGGCAGTGCCTGGCTGGATCCAAAAAGGCACACGCACTCTTTGCGGTCATCAGGCGCTTTCAGGACCTGAAGCTGGAAAGTCTAGCAGCTTCAGCCGTGAGTGCTTTGAGCCCAACCATATTTGGGGCAACCCCTCAGAACCTAGGCTTGCTGCGTCCCGTTTGTCGGTCGTCTGCCTACAGGGCGTTACCTTGCGTCCGCTCATGCATCATAGCACAGCAAGACTTGAAGAAGTGATTTGACCGCCGCGCTTCCGTAGAATTAGGATTCCGGCCCTTGGCACCCTCACCGATTCGGACAACCTTCAGGCTCCAGAATAACATTCACTAATACCGGCCAGGCTGAAACGCACCGAATATGCTGTTGCAACTCAGATTGCAATTTCAAGCCCAGGACCGTATTTGTTCCAAATGTTTCACTGCCGCTGTTCAGAGCACAATCGTATTCTGCGCCCGCATGCAGATCTCTACACATGCTCGCTACATGCTTATCAGTCTTCATAATTGAACTGCACCGCGGCAGAAGCCACTCGTGAGCATGGGTGCCCATCTCGTCAGACAGTCTTCTTCACCGAATGCTGTGCTTGGGGCATTTGCATGGCGGGCAAAGGAATCAACGGAAACGGGGCAGGGAACATAGCTGCAAGCTTCGCCGTGAAGAGCTAACATTGGGAGACGGCGAGTGTCTGCAAACAATTCCTCATGCAGGGCTTGCCTCTTGCACTTGCAGTCTTGCTGTCCAGCCTAGCCTGCCGGAAAGCCACGCGCCAGACATTGAAGAGGGCCCAGGAGACAGCAGCCAAAGGCAGGGCCTCAATGGTATGGATTAGCGGCTTTTGCCCATCAGGCTATATCAAGACACATGTAGCAAATTGTCAGATCCATCACTATTCGCAAAAAAACGATTGGCACATGCTGTGTCAGCGACAAGCACGGCCAGAATGCGCACGTCAAAGCCTCCACAAACCAGCTGGCTACCGGCCATGCATTCAACATATTCAACGCAAGCAGTACATGCTGCTGCTCTCGTTAGGCTGCCTTCATCGTCCTCGTCAGAAGCCCGCACCGCGAAGGCTGGTGCCTAGTGAAAGGTTTAGACGGCAAGCTCCAAGCTCTTCCGCCAAATACAAGTCAACAAAGTTGCTTCACAGAAACAGCTCTGCTGAAAGTATGCTGGACAGCCTGCTTCGAAAACACTACTGTCTTTACGAATTGCAGCCGGACTGCTGGCATTGTTGCAGCTGCGATCACGGCGCTTCCAATGGCAGCCGCCTGTTGCTGCTGAAAGGCCTTGCAAGACGCCAGCACATGCTACGCCCTTGTCGCACAGCTTGCAAAATGTTCCAGGAAATATCATAATATCGCAGCAGAGAATGCACTGGGAAACTGCGTGCACAACCTTGGTCAGCGCAGACAGAAACTCAGGTCGTGGACAACTTCTGCTTGTCGTGGCGCAGGTACGAAGGACCTCTCCCATTCCAAGCAGATCAAGGACGTTTTGCATGGACGTTTTGATGGCGGCCCGCAAGCAACTTCAAGGCCGGCGCTCGCTCCTTGGAAAACAGCAAATGATGGCAGCGATGACCGCCGCCACCTGCAGAGGGCTCGGCATGCATTGTCGACGGTTCCTGGTTTCTAGGTTTGGTTGTGGGTATCATGATCTGTGCCCATCCGAGGCCATCTCTCATATTGCAGGCTCGAAAGTTGGGGTTGGCAGGCTCCAATCGGTGTGCCAAATCAAGAGCTGAGATGAGGACGAGCACAGGAGCGAGCGCTGACTTCGAGTGTGCCATTGTGGGCCTGTGCCCAGACAACGAGCCGGCTTGCTGTGCTGCACACGCAGATACCGCGCCTTCGTCAAACAAAGCCCAGGGCAGCAGAGATACCCGCAGCTGAGTGCTAGAAGCTCCAACAGCCCATGATCCCACACCTTTGCAGTCAGGCAGTCCCTCCTGACAGCACGCATCTTCACATTCTGCACCCACGACTACCTTGACTGTTCAAAGACCCGTCAGGGCTTTCAACCTCCGTAAGGTTGCTTCATTTTCCGCTGCCTCTCACCATTCTACAATCTTCAGACGGTGCCCAGAAGTATAGTTGACAAACTAGGAACCATAGCAACAAAAAGTCAAACAGCTTTGCAAACACTACATGAAGTAGATGGAGCAAAAGCATCCTGTCACATCCTGTCAACAGCGGAAACACTATCCTAGCCCAGCTCACCAAGCATCTGAAACTGCAATTACACACTTTTTGTCCCACGGTGATTTGGCTCATTGGCATTGGTTGGCTTGAAGCTATCCTTCAGTGAATGAAGTATTGCAGTCGCCACAGCACACTAGCATTTGCCATGGAGGCAAGAAATACAGCATGTCTCTTGTGTCTTTTAAACACGGACACATGCTTCAGGGCTGCCACAACACAGCCTAAACCGCTAAGCATAAAGGAAGGTAAGCACGCGGGCAATAACAAGGAACTTACAAACAAATTGTCAACTCGCCGGCAGCAGAAAATTCCGGCTTCTCCGATGCCTTTGAATTGGAGATCTAAGCGCTGTCTCGAACCAGGAAAAGCGCCTGAGCTGACTGAGATCTGTAACATGTTCGCTTACCAGGTCAGGGAAGATCTATCCCAGCGCATTGCTGTGCGCTGTTCCTGTAACACGGCAGAAAAGCACTTTCTGCTCACTCGTCTTCCGTTGACTCCTCTTCATCGTCATCCTGTTGCGTTGGCAGAATTGTGAGCGGCATTCACAAGCCAACACTGAAACTCAAGCATATGCTGCTCTACGCGAGTGAAGCACATATGGGCCTCCTGCAGTGTGTAGAGCGACTCACCCTTCTTCTCCAAGTTCTGCGAGCCCGGGGGTTTAGATGGAATCTGGGATGGGCAGGTGGGACTGGGCCCCTTGGGCCCCTTGCCATCATGCGCTTGCTCTTGATGCCGAAGGCAGACGCTATGATACCAATAATGCCTTATTTTTCAAACAGGACCTCTCAGCCAAGCTCAACCTTGCTAACTGGAGTATACTGCATGCATCCTACCTGCGCCCCCGTATCCCTCTAGCCTGCCAGTAAGCTCCATGTGTCTGCTGGCGCAAGCAATGGAAGCCACAGGATTGCAAAGTAGATCACATCAGGGCACTTGGGCCCACACCAATGGCAATGCTAGCAAAGCCCGTCGCAACTCCCAGCTTACCGCAGTAGCCGATGTTTGCAAATAATGCTTGGACGATCCTTGGTCTACCAGTTGCAGCGACACATGTCAGGAACATCCACTTTTGGACAGAACACGCTTGCTTGAACCACGTAAGCTGCTAACAGGAAGATGCCTTGCTGGAGGAAGTTCTTGGGGAAGCCCACAACCTCTCAGATCAAGCGGTCTGCACTGCGCAGTCTGCCCAAGGGGCACGAGTGATCAAGACAGACCTTAACACCTATGGGAGAAGAACAAGAAGAAAGCTTGAACAAATGGGACAAGAACACAAACAAGCGGGAACTGCTTCGCCTCCATCATCATAGGAGAGTACATCAGTGTGCCGCCGACCCCAACCTCGATGTCTTTTACGTTGATAGCCGTTGCCAGCATCAAAGGGCAAGTTGACAGGTTGAACTCAAATGGCAGTGGGCCTCCTATGCACTGCCCCTCAGGCTTCTGCGAAAAACGGCACCCACACCGGAACTCCAACCTGAATGAACCAAGGGAATGCGGAGTGCTGGGATACCCGGAGTCAGATTTGACCAACAACTATGTTCATGATCGCTGGGTGCCCTCACCAGACCCCAGCTGTTCGCCCACTCCCTGTTGCAATCCACCCAGTAGGTGTACCTGCACGTCTCGAGATCGATCTTCTCAGGAACATCATCTACAACGATCCAGGTAAGCCTGATTTCCTTTCGCAACACAAACCAAGTAGGCTCATGAGTCATGAAGCAGACTTGTCTGCCACAATTGCATGCGAAAATGGAGCCAATACAGGCATGGAGCACTCATCTGGGTCCTCGAAGTAGCATTGTTGGAAAACCAGCTTGAAGGAGGGGAAGTGCCACTGCCGCGTCGCATGTGTTCATTCAGTCTGATACCACATTGCACATCACAATCAAAGACGCGCCACGTGGCACATAAAGGTAGATCAAACCAATCAGCACCGTCACCAAAGAAGTGAAAGATGCCGCAGCAGCTAGGATATCACCTGCCAAAGCAGGCCAAAGGTGGAATAAGCGACTGACGGAATGAATAAACCGCTGAGCCAAGGCACCAAATTGGGCTTTACCTCTTGCCATGGCTAGGCAGCCACCTGCATCACTGGCCGTGGTAATTGTTTCTCGACATGCAACGAAACAACTCACCTCTGGCCACGCGCGCACGTTCCAGCTGGCGTGCTGGCGTCTGCAAGCCGAAAGGCTTCTGAGAGCTCAGCAACTTACGCAAACCATGGACCACTTGCCGCCGGCAATAGAACCCTCTAACAATAGGTTTTCTCGGGGACTGATTTTTGGCGGGAATCTGGAAAAAATAAATAAAATACGGAAAAAATGTGGAGCCGGTTGAACAACTCTAATCCAAGCCTTTAACTCCGAACCCAGCCGCGCTCCAAAGCGTATCTCCGGCGCGGCAACCCTCACCGTGGAAAAATATCTCGCGAATGCTAAGCCACTACACAGGTTTCCCTGGAAAGGCGTGTGGTATCATAGCGCTTCATACCAAAGAATGCCACAAGCATGCCGCATACCGCATGCCCTTAACCCAACCATAAGAAATGACAACCCTTCGCAGAACAGCTTTTTTGGTGAACAGGCCTTCAAAAAGCTGTGCCGTCTGGTACGGCAAGCTGACACGTCACCATAAAACGAGCAGGACTTGCATTCGAGCTTCACCAGCTCATTGTGCAAGCTTTGAACTGGTGGCTTCACCAGCCGATTGTTCAACAAAACAAGATCTGGGTCTGCATGCTCTTGAAAATGCGATGCAGACCGTGAGAAGCGGAAACCATTGACACGAGAACAAGTCTTCTACAGCCAGACATGCCCCACAAATGCCACCCTGCCCTGACAAGCACAAGCTCATGCTGCAACGCTCGGACTCGGACTGTCTTAAATGCTTCCCACATGCAGAATGAACGGGTCATCCGACAGAGTCGCCAGACGTCAAAAACTGTGGGGCACCGGGCTTCTGGAAACTCAGGCATGGACGAGGCTGAGCACACGCTCCAGCATCCTCCAGACGGGAGCAACTGGCCCTTTCAAGTGGCAAGTCAAGTCCACTTCCGCCTCGTGTCGGGAGCTCTCCCTTTCGAGCCAGACGTATAAATCTTCAACAGCTTTTGCCTGGTGCGGGTCAGCTGAGGGGAGATGCTCATCTTTCTTCAAACGGTCCTCATGGCAGGCGCAACTTCCCAGTCATCTTGAAACCTTCAAGACGGCTTTTCTCTGCTTCTGCAACTGCAAAGCCCTGCTGAAACTATTTCAGGAGTTCTGAGATTCACACTCAACGCCAGCTGATAGCCCAAAAGCCGCTAGCAACTCCAGCCTTGCATCTGTCTGTGGCTTCCAGTATCAGTGAAGAGTTCGCAACATGCACTCATGGAGCAAGCACTGCGCATGCGTGGCCAAATGACGCAGAACTACCAAAGCAAGATCTGGGGGCCAGGTACATTAATATCAGTGATAAGCATGAGCCGATCGCTGAAGGGCTTGATTGACTCTCATCTCTCAAGTTGCTCGCATGCTGGAGCTGGCGCAATCAGAACTTTGAATGTGCAAACATCGATGGCTCCACTTGGGGCAGATCAGAGCAACAAGAAAGGGCCACAAGTCTTCCAGTAGCGCTTGTCCCTTGGAATTCGTGCCTCTGCATTTGATCAACTGCTGCAGCCTCGTTTTCCTGTCAGCGGCGTTCATGAAGTACGCGACGTTCATGCTCACGCGGTACGCCATGGTACACTCATCCCGTTCAAGGCGGGACGTGACAGGATCAGCTGGGTCCTGCAATAAGTCGCCGGAAGCATTGACCTCCGATGGAATTCAGATGGAAAGCAGCTTTCCAGGAATTTTTACTGAGTGCGCTTCTAGGCAGGAACGACACCGGCTCTTGATCAAATCCTGCATCTCGGACATGGCCTGAAGCAGTGCAGGTGTGAAACCAAGGGAGGATAGGCCAGGAAAACCGAGGAGTACGGCCTTGCCTCCTTCTCCGCCAGTCCAAACGCTTCTCTCGAAGCCTCGATGCCATCCACCTTGTGGAACATTGCAAGGAGATGCAGACTTTTTCTGCGGTGTTTTCAACTGGTGTTCAGTTGCTTCCGTATTACAACGCAAGCATGCTGCATTCAGAAACTGAAGACCTTCCTCAGTGAACAATCTGTCGATCTGACAAGCGAGCAGTTGTGTATATAGGCAATAAAGACTTGCCTTCTGCTCGTCGGTGAGATCCGGGTCCTGTCGGAACACTTTTCGAGTGAGCGCATCCAGGCAATCTGCTTCAAACTGGTTGATTTTCACAGAAATGATATGATGATCTCTAAACAGTACACAATCGATGCAATGCATGTGACTGGCTGCGCCTCAACCACCGACGCAACCTCCACCTTGAATAGAGACCTGAAACAAATCGCTGTGCCGATCACGTTCCACACGTCCGAACCTGAGGAGCACACCGAAGCTGAGGTCTGGAGAGCTCAAGGTCCTTGGCGACTTCGAGGTCCCACTCCTCAACCTCACAAAGGAGTCTGCGCCTTACAGCCTACAGGATCTGGATACATGGGCTTGCAGATGGTACTGGATGGGTAGCTCACAACCCCAATGCTTTGAGCGGTGCCTAACCTGAGCCTGAACATGACACAGCTAACAGTACACCTCTGATTCAAAGCCCGAATGCTGCGAATTGCTCTCACCCATCAAGCTGTGCTTGTCAGAGTTGGCATACCTCCTCCCTGCATCTGTCAGCAAAGTCTTACGATGCCATAGCGCGCGGCCTCTGCCCGCAGCTTGCTCAAATCCTCTGGTGTCACAGAGGGCTTGTTCAAAATCTTGAGCACCTCCAAAGAAAGCCATTCACAGAAACGGCGTCATGCAAAACTTCAGAATTGATTTGCAGCCTTGTTCTGCAGAAGACTCTTGTTGGCAGCCTGGACAATGCATCTAACTGTCCAAGTGGTCAAACACTGAGAATGCACTCCCCTTGGGCTATCCACACTGCTATGCAGGCAAAAAGGGCTTCTTCCATTCCGCTTTTAACTGCATGCATGCTGCATGTAGCAGAGGTGAAACGCCGGCTCCCACCTCTGTACAAAGCTTGTCTCTCGTTGCTCTGTGAGCTCCTAGCTTGCTAAAGTACTGTGCGAACCGGGTACATCAAAGGAACCATCTGGTGCATGTAGACGCACGCCCACCTCGCGATCGCTAGTCCGGACGGTCAAGTTCGTTCCGACAGCACAGAAGATGATGGACAGAAAGCTGAGAATCTTACATAAGCCACATACAGAAAGTTGATGTCCAGACCTGCTGAATGTCGTGGATCATGAAGGATCTAGGGTATCACCCAACTAGCGAGCTGAGAACTGCGCCACCACCAGGCCAAGACTTCTGCTTTCTTTCCTCCTTATGGAGAGACATCCGCTACAGCAAGCCGCACACGACATGAGCTTTACCCTCCCTTCAAAATGACAAGGTGCGTAATTTTTGCTGTCTCAACTGTGAAGAACATGCGCGCAACCTTTGCGACACGACCAGACTCACGCTGCATCCACGTGTACTCCCTTCACATGCTGCCGACAGACAAAACTGGCACAGATGCCGAGGAGGACGAACATAAGAGTGCCTTGGCTGAGGACAGGATACTTGACTGGACGATTGACTCGCTCAAGGATAAGCTCCAGACCAAATAACAGGCCTGGAGCCATGAAGCCCAGGCTTTCGCCCATCTTGGAGACCTGGAACCTTTCTGACATCAGCTCCCCATGACAAATTATCGCAGGTCTTTCAAGTTAGTAGCACAGCTCCAGGCTAGGGCGATCAGTTAAACCAAATCCAGATGTGAGACACAACCGTCCGGGGATGAGGCTGTGGCTTTGGCGATGCAGCCTGGAAGTCTCGTCACAGCTCTTTCCTGGTGCCCTGGGCGTGTGGACTCCTGCTTCTGGGAATCTTGAGCCGAAAGGAACGAGCAAACCCTCATTGCCCAGGACCCTGAGCATGCGTGCTTCGGATTTCCCACGAGAAAGATCCCTGCCTGTACCATGTCCATGGTAACATCCTTCTCAATGCCAAAGAACATTGGTGCCTCGAACAGCACCAAAAGAAGCACCCACACGCCAATTCATTCCAATGCAAGCCCCAACTGACACGCTCATACTGCCATAACAGCCACCCGCTCTTGCAGAATCAAGTTCAGCCTACTTGATGCTACGGCTTGATTTGCACTGCTGAGTCTTTGACCCAATCCGTGAGCATGGACACGTCATCCTTCTTCAGCTCCCCTTGCTCCTGATTGTTCATGCAACGCTTCCAGACCTTATAATGGGTGAGGGATCAAAAAATCAAAAAGGACCAACAAAATCAGAATCGATGATCAAAATAATCAAAATAAGTATCAAAAAACAAAATATTCAAACATGAGCAAGCCCCAAGCGAGAGCGATGACAACTTATGAACATTACGATTGGAATGATCAAAATGACGAAAAAATAATGAAAGTGGCAGAAAAATGATGAAAAATGCTGAAAATAATGAAAAAGATGGAAAAATGATGAAACATGCTGAAAACTGGCGAAAACGATAGAAAGTCATTAAAAAAACAATGAAAAATTTAATGAAAATGAAAACAAAAAACGATTACCAAAAAAAAAGTAAATATCAAAAAAAATCAAATGTGAGCAAGCTCTATGTGATTCAAAATGATGAAAACGATGAAATATATTGAAAGTGATAGAGCATGATGAAAAATCATGAAACTTGATGAAAATGATGGAACATGATGAAAATGATAGAACATGAAAGAAAATTGTGAAAATGAGGCAAAATCCGCCGACCCCGGCTGGGTCCGGGGCAGCGCCCGTGAAGCACAGTTCGAAGATCAGATTTGGAGCCAGGGACAAGGAGCCAGGGACCGGCAGGGTAGGTATCGTCGGCTGCCTTCATTGCTTGAACCCTTTTCGCGGTCCTTGCACCTTTTCCTCCCGCCCTCACCGCATGGCCCCGCTCTCATATTGCTTTAGTATAGCAGAAGTATTTAATGCAGGTTTAATGCCAGCCCAACCCCTTACTGCGCTTCCCGCCCGCCCTGCCCGCCCCGCCCGTCCCGCCCCCGCCCGTCCCGCCCCCGCCCCCCTGAAATAACTTCAGTCCTGTTGCT